AGGAGACCAAAAAAGATACGGGTAAAAACTGTCATAAAGGAACAATAATGCAACCTGATCCATGTAGCCAAATCCAAATAATGGAAGAAGGCTTTTTGTTGTAAATATTAAGCATTAATTTTTGGATAAATTGTAGTTGACAAGTCATAATTTTAGATATTGGCCTCCAAGGAGAAAAATGCTTTTCTAACTAGGCTATTGATACTACTTATGGTATCATATTACAACGACTTTTTCTTTTATCATTGTAAATTTTGTAAAATCTTTTAGGATGAGAAAAAAGTGTGAGGGCTGCTATTAGACGCTAAAATCTCTAAAGTCTTTTGCTTAACGGATTGAAAATATGAGTTGAATAGAAGAGTCTTTTCTCCTCCTTCATTTTTTTTTTTTTTTGCATTTCTAATAATTTAAGTCTGGCAGCGGTTTGAGCTCAAGACCTCCAGTTCAGGAGGAAAGCTAACCACCATTCTGTTTCCCTCACCACCAAATAGCTTAGCCTCCTGATTACAAAAGCTAAGTTGCTCACTCTCAAGAAATTCCATATGAGTCATGAACCAATTAGATGCAGGAATGTACAATTTTTTGTGAGTTTGTTCTTGCCATGCCCTCGTGCATCTTTTGGGGAAAATGAAATAATGCTTGAGTACAATTCATTACATTACAAGGGATTTAATGGATAGTCAGATTGGTCTCATGATGCTACTATCTTTACAAAGGACTAATTAGCAATGACATAAATGTACTATTAATTATGACACTATGGTAAACTATAATTACCCTTAAATTGACCCTTTAACTAATACCAGCATGCCTCAAATTATAAATAGAGTAAACCAAGCAAACAAACGGCGGAAAAAAAAATCATTGTAATACACACATTTTTCAACAAAAGTGTATTAGTAATATTTCATGTGCCAAGCTTTTCAGGTTGGTCGTATGCAAACCAAGTAAAGAAAACAATTTCCAAATGAAAGGCATCTTCAAGTAAAAATCATTCATCAACATACTGCAACTGTTGACTGCCATTTTAGTGGTTTGTAATAAAGAAGGCTGAAAGATGCATGCAAAGCAGAGCTTACCGTGTTCCAGCAAAATGCCGAGACCGTCTAGATACCAATGTAACACTAAAGTCCCTCCCAAAGATTGATAGCCTAGTCTGCAGTTAAGAGTAGCACAAAAAGAAAACCAGAAGTATTGGTTGAATATTCAACAAGCATTGCAGCCAACTTAAACAAAATAGTCATGTACAAAATCAACATATCCTTTTAACGTACTTTCAGCTTCATTAAAATTACATTAACCATCAAATTCTGCTTCCTTTTAAATAAAATGAAAAATAAATCATAAGTAACCAAAATTTATCCTGCAACTTTAACAAATATTATCGATTTTGCAGAAAATTCTATCTCTGACTTTTCCAAATCTTTTCAAAATCTTACTTCATGTTTAAGATTCCAGATTATTTAGTTTCTAGTTTGTATTTTGGCTGACCCAAGAAAAAAATTTCCAATTTGTAGGAATTTACATCTGAATTAAACATCTGAGCCATCAATTTTTCTTGCTCAAATATTGAGCCAAGTACACCAAGAACATAAATAAAAGCTGACATAGCAAGAAGAAACACCAGAAGCTTATTGCGATGTACAGGTGTATGACAAGATGAATCTAACAAGACATAAATGAGTGCTTAATGAAACTTGCAGCAATAAATTTTTTTTTTTTTTATAAGACAGCAATAAATTAATAGTAACAGAAAATGAAAGATCATGCCGAAGTGAGTACTATTTCTAAGAAGGCAAATGGGTAAATATATCCAGTCCAGCAAAGAAAGAGAAATACAGTCAACATTTGAAGTACCTGTTTAAAATGCCCATGAACCAATGCTATTGTCCAAATAGTGTTACTGCATCTTGATCGAATGGCTTGGGTTAGATGGGCATTCCAAACAAATATATTATCATATGGCATCCCTTCTTCGTCCAAGGATAAAACATTTTTTTGCAAACTTTGCATTATGGGGTATGTATAGCTATAGAAAAAGTCTTTGGTCAAATCCACGCTGGATAGCAGCTTTTTGTACCTAAAGCCAAAAGGAAATAGAATAAGAATAATTAAAATGCAATTAAAGTTGGATCCTAATGCCATTTGAAGGTGAGAATGTGGAATAATGCAAGAAGAAAAAGAAAAAAAGAAAAATATATAACTTATAGCAAATTACAAATTAAGATTATTTAGGTTTTATATTTTTGCCATTGCAGTTACTGAGAAATTGAGATGGTGATTATAGCTGATACAGATATGACAAATTTCATGACAGCAGTTACAATTACTTAAAGGTATTAGAAGAAAGCAAGATTTGATTAAAAGAGATAAATACCCAAACAGGACATGCACACACAGATACCACTAGATGCTGTTTAAGATTGGAAAAATACTAATCTTTGAACTTGGGAGTTTATTGCCCACTTATCAAATCGCCCTAAATTCTTATAAAGCAAAGAAAATAAGGCCTATGAGTAATTTTTCCCATTTGAGAAGATAACATCACTGCTCTTGGTTGAAATTAAAGTAGATTAGAACAGAGCAAAAATAGGAAGGGCAGATTGTAAATTTTCCTGTTCTTACTGCCTCATAGCTTCTCTAGTAATCCACATATAGTAACAAAAAATCCCGTAATCTCGGGAATTTAATCACCATGCAACCAAGAAACTAGAGATGCCACCGGCCCAACCTACTAAGGGTAGTAAAATCACTTCAAATGAAATGTAAAATGTCAATATATAGGGTATAACGCCTTGTCACACTCAAATTGAATTTTATTCTTATCTTGGATAGCATAATTGATTGAAGCATTGTCCAGTTGAATATGTCTGAGCAGTAACATTATATGTTTGTCCAGGAGAACAGTTATCTTTCAGGTTTGCTTGGTTTAAGAAAAAGGAAAATACCCTTTAAAGAAAAAGTAAGTTGAGCTAAGCCAATGTGGCTAGTCTAACATGGCTTGAAAATCCTAGAAGACCCATAATTTTTTAAGGCATATGAGCAAATCGAAGATTATACAAATATAGCAAGAGGTGATTCACATTGGGTCCCTAGCAAATGATGTTGACTGCAACTCAATAGAACTAACATGAGTATTTTATTTACTAAGAAGGAAACTATAAAATACAAGTAACCTAACATCCTCTTCCTGCTTTTCCATCTATACTTGACCTTTGCCATTCTTATTTGGTCATAATACTAATTGGTGATGTTAATAGGCCATGATACTCAATTTGGTAAAGGGCAACCTCTTCAGTTATCTGCTTTTCTCCATCATATGATAGAGAAAAAAATTCATAAGAAAAAATATATATAAAAAAAACAAAATAGCAACCCGTTTGGTATTTTAAAGTTGCAATTGCGTCTGTATTCTGCAGAACTATTTCCAGGAATGCAAAAAGAGATAGATTAAATTAGATGCATGTGATTTGCAGTTAGATGTCAGAATAAACACAATCAATTCTATTTTCAAAAAGAATAAAACTTTTAAAATAATATCAAATTGAATGGCACAAGGTTTTGAATCAGACCTAAAAACTAACTCTGAAGCAATCAAAGTGAAGGAGATACCTTAGCTCCGTTTTAGAATGTGCTACATCAGACTGAATGGAAACATGAGGAATTGTGATCAAGTGGCTCTCATCTATGCTATATATTGCATGACCACATATACATCCGATTTGCCGTCGCTTTGTAACCAGAATCAAGTAATATGACTCCAAAAACTTGATGCAACCTAAATAATGCAGAAAACATATAACAGGATGTCAACAGGAACAATTCCTTAAGTACCTTATATAGGAACAAAGCATAAATTGTCACTAACCCACAATTCCAAAAACCTTTGCCACAAAGCTTAAGCCTCCAGTGGCACGATTTCCCTCAGCAATCCGCTGTAGCAAATTTTTTATCTCTTGCGTTGAATAAACCACTGGGTCTTCACTGATATTAAGATCAGATGGTTCTGACCGATCAATTTTCAACACCTGGAAGAATTTCTTGTTCCTATCACTCCCAATCAAATAAAACCTCTGTTTAAAAGAAACCAAAAATAGAAACAAATCAACCCTGAAGAAAAAGAAATGAAAATCATACATAAAAGCTAATTGCATAGACTCCATTTTACCAGCAACCAAATAGCATCTTCAGGATTCTTTATTAATCAATTTTCAACTAGTAGATCCAATGTTGAGATTGTAGTTGATTCAGCACAAGAGTTTTTTTCTTTTTCTTTGAATATTGTAATTTCAGTCGCTCTTGCCCTATTTTTCATCCTGTTTCCTCAGCAACCAACAGAAGACTTGAAAATCTAAGACAAAAAAACCCTAATTTCTATTTTCTTTTCCATCTTTTTATCTTAAAAATAATACCAATCGAACAACCAACCAGATCGTAAAAAGAACCACAAAAAAACACAAATTAGATATTTCTTTCCTGTTGGTATAATTTAAGAGTTTTCCATGAATTTGCCAAGAAACAACAGAAAAAGTAAGGATTGTTACCGCTTGGGTTTCGTATAGCCTGAATTTCTCAAGGGAGTAGGAATTGGGATCGGCCTCCGGATCCATGGATGGGTGAATCTTCGCGAATGGAAGTGACAAATTGGATTTCAAATTCTCCGATTTTGCCATTTTGGTGGGAATGTATTCAATTCAATTCAATTCTAAGCTACGCTTCGGACATCTGGTTTGGTAAATAATTTTGGGTATTTCCGCACCTCTAATCACTTATATAGTATTCGCAATATGAATTCTTCAACTCACTGAGTCGACTCGGAACTCAGCCACGTTGTGCCGCTGAAGCAAGTTGGTAACTTTAAAAAATGTAAGATTTCATGTACATCTTAAACGGTCAGACTAAGTGGTCAACCAATCTACACAAAAAAACTTACCGTCCATAGACTTCATATAAGTAATAGCAGAACCCTTTATCCAGTTTTCTCTTCAGCCTCAATTTAGTTGCCCGGAAGGAATATTTGTGGTGCTAGTTTTATATTCACATAATATATTCATAAAAGTAAAGGCAGCAGGTCACGACTCCAACCCAAAATGCCAACTCTCTTTGCTTGTCACAACACCTTGATGGCTTCTCCAGCATCACCGCTTCTTCTTCCTCGATGCAGTCCTGCCATTCTCAATATTGGAAATAGGGAGCCAAGACCCAGAGTTGTCACTGTCTTTGCTGCAACATCTGGTCCCTTAAACTCGGTACAATCTTTTCATGGTCAACTCTGTTGCTGCACTATCTGTGGTTATATGATTTATTAGCTGATGCAATCATTCGCACCATATATATGTATCACTGCCTGCAGATTCTGAAAAGATGTGAAAAATGTGGAGGCAAAGGAGCTATAGAGTGTCCGGGATGTAAGGTGTTTTGCTTCTCAACCTCTAAGCACCTTATGTTTATATACATATATAGGAAATATTGCTGCAATTTTCATGTCTTGCTCAACGAGTCTCCTTAACTATGAGAAGATATCAGTGCCTAAGCCCTGAGTAAACAAATCCTTTGCATGAGTTTGACATAATTATCGAAGGTTTGCATTGAATATCGTAATCTCAAAGCTTATGCTAATAGGATGCAAGGCCTAACGAGGGGAGGTTCTCAAACCTTGAACCTGAAAATCTAGTCTCATACAATGTTGGGGGCCATGACCCCCCAGCCTATACGTGGCTTCCCCATTGATAAGCTAACAAGAGAGTGAAAAAGAATGAGACCCATGGAGACTAATTACTATATTTATATATAGTGCAGCAACAATACTATTTTCTTTGGGAAAGAGCCTTTGATTTCTTAGCTTGGTGTAGAACTAGTTATATTAGCAACTTTTTCATCGTTTGCGGTGATAGATATATTCAATATTGGAGAATTACAGCAATGCGGTCATCCTGATGAAAGAAGAGATATCTAAGTACTGTTGAATAATTAACAATCTCAATAACAAGAGTTTATCTAACTCTGTGACCTAATTCATATAGATTTCATTTTTCAAAGAATGAGTGTATATGTGAGCAAATAATGCTTTAATTGTGCATAATTGATTTTACAGGGAACGGGGAAAAACAAGAAGAATGGGAATATCTTTGAGAGATGGAAGTAAGATATGTTTATGTTTTAGAATATAAATATAATGAGGAATTATAGTTTATTTGGAGTAAGATTTATCTAAATTCGCTTCTAATGTATAAAACCTTGTTTAGATGCTTTGATTGCCAAGGATTTGGGCTGAAAAGTTGTCCTAGCTGTGGGCAAGGAGGGCTGACACCAGAACAAAGAGGAGAAAGATAGAATTCATATGAAGGCTTGGGAGTTGACAGTTCGATGAGATGTTGTAACTATATATGTATTACAATTTAAAAGCTTTCCTCTTAATTTCATTTTATACCTTTTTTTACATCTTCCCAAACAGTAACCGTTAAATACTTTCAAAAAAATTACTTTTACTATGCTACTTTACTTTTAATAATTCTATAAAAATACTTGGAATCTTTTGAATTAACCTATGCTTATAGCAAAACTTTTCTTTTTCTTGAAATTGTACTAGTCCAGCTACAAGTAACTTTGCTATGTATGCAATGACTATTGGAGGGAAAGTTGTTAAAATCATATCGTGTTCTAATTTCGTCTGTATCTCTTTGTGTTCAAACGGGTAGACTTATCTTCTCAGATATTCCTATAGTAATATAAATACAACACTATACAATACAATGAAATCAAGCCATTTTTACATTCATTTCTCTATTTGTTATCAAATTTTCTTATGGTGTTAAAGCAGTAGCTCTAGCGCGTCATTTAATATTTCTCTATGTCTTCTTTAACCTCTAATAATGTTGCTACCGTTACCAATGTCTCATTGTCTGCTACAAGTTGCTTGGTTATGTCGATGGATCATCTCCCCCTCGTTTTACCAAGATTCCACAAAAATGTTCCAATCCTCCTATAATGATTTTTGATCCAGCCTAGGATCACTGGACTCACTAAGATCAATTGCTACTTCATGGAGTTATATTGTTTACCGCAAATAGTTTTGTCCTTTCTTTGTCTCTGTTGAAACCTCTTATGATGCCTAGAAATAAAATGAGTATAAACTTTATGCCTACAAGTTCAAGTCCAAGATAATGAATTTGATGGATAATCTCCCTGTTCCCTTACTATGATTCCACAAGAAGGCTCCAATCCTCCTATAAGGGTTTCCAATCCAGCCTATGATCATTGGACTTGCCAAGATCAATTGTTACTTCATGGAATTATATTCTCTGCCACAAAAAGTTTTGTTCCTTTTTTTGTCTCTATTGAAATCTCTATTGATGTCTGGACTTGAATAAATAAACTTTATGCCAACAAGTCCAAGTCCAGAATGATGAATTTATGAGAAAAGCTCACCAAACCAAAAGGAGTCAAATATGCTTTAAAATATTTTCAGCATCTTTGCAATTTAACTAATGAACTTATCTTAGTGAACTTTCTTATCAATGCAGAAGAATCTGTTGTCCATGCCTTGAATGGTATTGGAGATGATTTTGTTGAAGTAATTCTCAATCTATGGATTTAGCAGCTAACTGCTATGGCGGGAAGAAACAACTGGTTAAAGACTCAAAGAAGAATAATAGAAGAAAATAAACGTGTTCATCCTATCTTTTCAAAGTGTTTAGCTTGGGTTGATCTTTTCTTTCCTTAGTCGACCCTTTCTTTCTTTATTATACTGGGTACTTGAATAGCGTCATGTTTAGTTGTTTTATGGTTTCTTTGTTTTAATTTCTTGTTAAACACTGCACAATTTTTTATCCAACTAGTAGTGAATTGTTGACTTTTGAAATGAGGAACAAATGTTATCTTCTAAACTTGGTAGATACCAGACACTTGGCACTATATAGTGCATGTGATATCTCTGAGCTTTGGCACAGGAGACTAGGACATGTGAATTGTAATTCACTGTCATATATGTCATCAAGTGAACTTGTAGATGGACTACTTGAGATAGCTAAGCTAGACAAGCTTTGTAAAACATGTCAGCTTGGGAAACTAATCAGAAAACCTTTTCTTAAGGTAAGCCAGTGGAAAGCTACTCAAAAACTAGAGCTCATTCATACTGATATTAGAGGGCCAATGAAAACTCCCTCTCTAAATAGAAGCAGATACTATATTTTGTTTATAGATGATCTTACTAGTTACTGTTGTGTATATTTTTTGAAGGTGAAGTCAAATGGATTAAAATAATTCATGAAGTTTAAGGCATTTTGCAGAAAACTTTACAAGCTTGAGTATAAAGACTATAAGAAATGATAATGGTACTGAATACACTTCAGCTAAATTTGAGAGTTTTTTTACCACTTTTGGAGATCAACATTAGCTCACTGTAACATATCATCCTCAGCTAAATGGCAAGTCAGAAAGGAAGAATAGAACACTTGGAGAAATAGGCAGATGTCTACTATATCAAATGAACTTACCAAGGAAATTTTAGGCAGAAGTTGTGAATACAGCCAACTACCTACTTAATAGAGTTTAAACAAGAATGATGAGTAAGAAAACCTTATGAGATGTGGTTTGGGCATAAACCAACTGTCCCGCGTCTAAGAACATTTGGTTGTGTATGTTATGCCAAAGTACCTTATGAAAAAAGAACAAAGTTTGATTTTAAGTCAGATATAGCTTTGTTTATTAGTTAAAGTGAAGTGACTAAAGGCTACGGGCTATACAACATCGAGTCTAATAAGGTGTTCATTAGTAAAGATGTGAATTTTGATGAAGGGCAAAGTTAAAATTGAAACAAATGCATTGTAGAAAGATCAGATAAAATGATTGTAGCTGATGAAAATCCTATGTAGGTTATTGATGATGAAGTATCTGATATTGAAGATGAATCCTTAATTGTTAAAGAAGCTAGAACACTGCAGGATATATAGCAAATGTCATGTTGTTGTAACTAAGCCTTCTAATTTCATTAATATAGTGTCAGACAAGAATTGGAAAGTTGGGATGGATATAGAAATGAGTATGATCTTGAAGAATAATACTTGGATCCTTGTTGATAGACCTTCTGATCAACATGTAATTAAAGTCAAGTGGATTTTCGAAATAAAATTGAATTCAATGGGACAGTTAACAAGAATAAGGCTAGGCTAGTTGTAAAAGGCTATGCTCAAGTGTATGGTTTTGATTACTTTGAAACATTTGCCCCAGTTGCTAGGCATGACTCTATCAGATTAGTTGTTGCACTATCTACTAAGGAAAACTGAAAAATTTTAAACCTAGATGTTAAATCAGCCTTCCTTAATAGTGTGTTGTTAGAGGATATATATATATATATATATAGCATTACTTGAAAGGTATCTGAAGAAAGGCTTAAAAGGTAAAGTTTGTAAGCTTATCAAGGTTCTTGATGGCTTGAAACAAAGCTCCGAGGGCCTGATATGAGAGAATTGATGAGCACTTTAAAGATTAGTGCTTTGTCAGAAGTGCAAATAGGTATATCTTAGACATAAAGAAGTCAAATGATTCTGTGATGTTAATTGTGGCCTTGTATGTTGATGATATGATGATAATAGGTCCTGGCAAGATTTATTAGGAAGACTTCAAGACTCAGATGCTAAATGTGTTTGAGATGATTGATTTAGGACTAATGTCTTACTTCTTGGGAATTGAAACACTGCAGTTGCCTACTCAAATCATTTTACATCAGACAAAGTATACAAGTAACTTATTAGAAAAGTTCAAAATGGATTCATGCAAAGTTGTGAATATCCCACTTTCAACTGGGTGTAAGTTGAGTAATGATAATGAGTCTACTTAGGCAGATGGAATGCTTTACAGTAGTACTATAGGATCTTTACTATACTTGTTTGCAACAAGACCAGACTTAATGTTTGCCATAAGTCTGCTCTTCAAATTCATGCAATCATCTTCAATTATGCATTTTACTGCTACAAAAAGATTTTTCAGGTATGTGAAAGGTACAATGGATTATGCTTTGGTGTATGTGATGGTTGAGAGTAGTGATTTACGGGGTTATTGTGATAGTAACTAGGTAAGGTCCATTAATGACTTTGATAGTACATGTGGTTTTTATTTCACATTTGGTAGTGTTGTTTTCTCTTGGAACTCTAAGAAGTAGGAGATCGTAGCTAAGTCTTCAACTAAAGCTGAAAACATAGCAGCTATTACTGCATCAAATCATGCCAAGTGGTTAAGAAAAATGTGTTTTTATTTTGGGTTTAAGCAATAGAAAAGCAAACTAATTTATGCTGATAATCAATTAGTCATTGCTATTGCTAAAAACCTTATGCAGCATGGCAGAACAAAGCATATCAGGGTTAAATATCATGCATTGAAGGAGGCTGTGAAGGAAAATGAAATCAATTTACAACATTGTCCAACTGACCAGGAGTTAGTAGATATCTTCACCAAGAGTTTATGCAGAAAGAGGTTTGAGAAGTTAAGATCAAGGTTATAAGTTCACCAGATCACGGATTATGGGGCTATATTGAAGAAGTAATCCTCAATCTAGGGATTTAGTAGCTAATGACTTCGGCAAGAAGCAACAACTGGTTAAAGACTTAAAAAAGAATAATAAAAGAAACTAAACGATGTCGTCCTATCTTTCCAAAGTTTATATCTTGGGTTAATCCTTTCTTTCCTTAGTCGATCTTTCCTTTCCAAAGTTTATATCTTGGGTTAATCCTTTCTTTCCTTAGTCGATCTTTCCTTTCCAAAGTTTGTGTTGGGTACTTGAACAGCATCATGTTTAGTCGTTTTATGATTTCTTTGTTTTAATTGCCTGTTAAACATAGTAAATAATACTCTGTAAAAAAGTGCATAAAGCACTACAAAAAACACTAGTTTCCTAACAAACTAAAAGAGATAAAGATAGTGTATAGATGCCAAGAGTCAATTAGCCATAACCCAATAAGGATAGAAATAGAGATAGTGTGCAGTTGCCAAGGTTCAATGAACACAACCCCACAAAGGAAGCAAAAAAGAAACTGAAGATAAGGGAAAAGCATAATCAAGCTTCCAAGAGAGAAATTAAAATCAATTAACCGTAACTCTAGCAAGAAGTCAACAAGTTTATTAGCTCTCATATGAATGTAGAAATCCTACCACTTATTCACCTTTTTGTTTTAAAATTCCCAACTAGTTACCAACATTGTTAAGATACCATGGTACTTTTTTGGGTTGTCACACCAATTCATTACCAATTCACTACATTAATCAAATCGCTCTCGACCAACAAAACATGAGTAGAATACTTGCTCTTAAAGTTGTTTTTCAGTTTTGTAATCAAACAAGTGATTCTACCAAAACTCGCTTTAGATAATAATCTGCATAAATAGCAAACAATGTTAATACTATAGCACTTGCACCGAATTGGCTTGTTGATTATGGTGCCTTTCA